GAATGGAGAGCAAAAAAAATGGGTGGCTCAAATTCGAAAGCCGCGCCAATTTCCCACTAACTGACAGTTGCGAACTTTTCGCCTGCAATCCTATGAACGGTCACTGTTTGAACTTTTCTACTGTACCCATACTTTTTCAGTCACTATGTCACCAATAGGCAGCTCAGAGGCGTTGGCCTATCTTTCCCTCACTAAAACCGAACTGAACTATCTACTGAACAACAAATAGTAGTCATAGTTCCCCGCCCTTGTCTATACTGATGTTCCTTTGGGATTGACGTATGACCTCGCCTGGTCTTCTTGCTCTACCAGCATGCAAAGCATCGTACCGCGCCCTCCAGGTTCATCGCCAATGATCGTGGACATCTAAACGAACGACAGGATAGGCATCCGGGAAGAAATCCGTTCGGTAATTTTGTGGGTAACTGGGATACACCTTGCCATCACCCTGGAAACCACGTGGACACTGTGGTTAACCGCTCCAAAGCGGGTATTCAGTACCTGCAGAAACAACGCGAGCTCTACAACGCTGCCATTAGTGCCAATGAAGCCAAAAACGACAAACGCACTGCAGAAGCCGTAAGAAACAGCATTAATTGTCTACTCGTTTGCTCTTCTTTATGTGCACCTAGCCGGTTTCCTTTTATCAACCAATCAGCTGGTCGCTGTATTTATAGATTATGAGAGAAGCCCTTGAAAGCTCCATTGAAAGGCTTCCGGTCTGTAGGAGAAGCAGTTTAGTTGCAAATATCTCACTACGTACTTTGGTGTATGAAATGCGTCTGTGACTGCTGTGGAAACATAAATGTTAAAAAGATGTAGAATGTATGTAATAACAGCGTGCAGCCCATTCGCTGAATTTGTATTATGGCATATTAATCAGCGTGGCAATGTCCATTTAAACAAAACGATTAATTGAAATCAAAATAATAGTACTTTTATAGTTATATTAATGAGTCCTGAGATGTGGCTTTAAGGGGTCCGTTTGAATTTTACCCTAGTAGCGGTTTACGTATATTTAACATTTAAGGAATCTATATTCATACGGATGCCGATATCTAGTCGATATATATTTTGAACGGAAAAAGAGATATCAATTAGATATATTTTTATAGATACGGGATAATCAGCGATAATGGCGGCTTACGCTGGGAATTGGATCACTTTTCTTAACGAACGACCCATTTATTACGCATAAGCCCCGTAGGCTTTTAGTAAAGTTAAGTTTTACTTATAAGTATCTGGATGCCACATGTGGATGTGGTCCCTGTGCTTCATGTGTAGTCCGAGACTGATACTTTGACTGTTACTGACAACTGACGCTTATACCAGACCACGCGGTCAGTCCAGTGTGTTGT